AAACAGTACATTTACACAAGAGCATTCAGTAAAAAAGATTAAATGCTAAACATGTGAAATGCATGCACTTAGAAAAATTGTATGACCTGTGAACTGTGGTGCCACAGTCCCTAGAGTCAGCTTAGAAAACTTGAGAGAAGCCAAAATTGCCGGCCTATATTGCTCGAGAATCGGCTCCACCGAGTTCCTTATTATCTCTGAAGCTGCCTATATATACAACACACAAAATTTTATACAAATAAAATATCAAAATCAAACGGGTTCACAATACGTGGAAGAACATACGAAAAAAAGGAAAAAGGGGAAGATAAATAACCTCATCAACATAGGGCCATATCTTATCAATGTGATGGTTAAGCCAATTCAACTGCAAATCATGAAAAAACAGATAAAAATCGAAATCCCATAAATATGTGAATCCGCATAATTCGAAGCTTCGAAACAATTTGTTTAAAATTGCTCAACTTCTGCCGCTGTGAAAAGACCACCCAAGAAGGGTAAAATTTGTCAGGTAGAAGTTTCCTCGAATCTTCTACTGTCATCCTTGCAAAAGCCGCTACTGCTGCTGCCTGAAAAGTACATTAAAGTGGCTTGTTTCATTTATCTATCTTATCTTAGTTTGCATAACTAAAACAGAGTGAAGAACTTAAACACGAAAAACGGAATTTTTTTCGTTTATGTGTGATTAAATACATTCGCACGAGAAATCATCCATCAGGATAAACTCATGACACATTGAACAACAACAACGACAAATAAATAAATAAATAAAATAATCAAGAACATAAAAATGATACCAATTCGGTTCGTCTTTTGGATCTGCTGTTCTGGTAACGAGCGAAGCCAACGATCAAGCCGAAGCCTAACACAAAGCCCAAGACGTAGCCCACTAAAAATCCCATCTGAGATTCAAAAGAGAAAAGAGAAAAAAGATATAAAAAAAAAAAAAAAGTTGCGTTCTTGTGTTTGGATTGATCTGTAATACTACAAACTAACAGTGTGTAAGCTTTCTATTTTTTTTCTTCTACATAATTAATTTACAAGCTACAAAAGGCAAAACCATTGATTTTGGTTCCCAGTTACGAACAAATTTGAAGAAAAGAAAAAGAAAAGAAAAAGTATATTTCTGTTTCGAGGGGTAAATTTTGGTGCAATTGATTCAAGAACAGAGTGTGGAAAATCGGATTGTCAGCTGCCAAACGGTATTACCGGTCAATAGTGACGTGGCACCCGTGGTCCCTTGCGACGTGGGCGGATGACGGACGATATCTATCTGGGCTTGGGAGTGTTGACTTTCTGTTTTACTTTTAATTTTCCCTTTTCCTTTTTTCTTTTTTCTCCATCATTTTCTCCCACGTGGTTTCAATTTTAATTTCGAAACTCGTACAAAAATTGATGGTAAATGGCACGTGTGTGCGTCGTTATTAAAAAGGTTTTTATGAATTAATTAAATTTATGTAATTAAGTTGAAAATTATAAAATTTTCGTGGTATTTTTATTAATAATAAATAAAAGTACATTACTTGAAAAACATTTCAATTTTGAAAGCAAAGAATCATACAGGATTTTTCATACTAAACTTACTCTTTTCAACTATCTTCAAACTTTTAGTCTTTTCAACTATTGGATGTACATTGCTTTCACCATATATCCCAAATCACACGATTATTATGATATTACATATTCGAATTTGAGAATTACTTGTTCGTTGAGAGTGTTGCTAAAACATTCCTTAACGACAATTGGAAAATTTCCAAGTGGAATTATGTCATGCCCTTGTACATTCCTTAACAACTATGAAAATTAACCGTGTTAAGAATGCGTTTGGTAAATATAAATAAATAAAGAAGCTAATGAAGTATTAAAGTTAAAAACCAACAAACTAAATCAAAAACTCTCTAGATGCCTTTGATTAATTTATAAGAACCAAAAAAACAGTTGTGGCATTTCCGTTTATCATCAGAGTCGCATGCTCGCGCAGCACAAAATAAAAAAATCAAATGAAAAACTATCGACCCTAACACGAACTTCCCGAAGAACTTGTGCTGCCGATTAAAATGCCANAAAAAAAAAAGGTAAAAACAATACCATCCATCGATGCTGGTAAACCATTATTGGAATCTCCTAGCACGTGTACCTCTTTCCCAACTTGACTAAAACTAGTGGTTGAACCACGGGCCAACCCCACCACCATTCACATGCCCGTTGCTGTGGATTCCGACACTGTTCTGAATGACAGTCGGTGGTAACCCCACGGCCATTGAAGAAGGGTTGGAAGAGTAGAGTCCGTGCGTGTGAGAAAGTGTGTGGGGATTCACGAGAGGGCTGCCAGCTGGATTCCCCTTACGCTGTTTGATGGCATGAATCTGCCTCAGCCCTTCTTCATGAATACGAGATATGGTGTCGAGCTCCTTCATGGACAAGGCTTCAAGGCCTGCACCATACAGAGGCGCATGCCGTGACATCTCTTCCTGAAGCTGGGCTTCCAGATGATGTATGTATTGCTGCAACATGCCAGCTCATCAGCATGGAGATAAAAAAATAAGCTGTGACTGTGCAGAGCTGTCAAATTGGGCCAAGAAAAAAAAATATTGGCCCGCCCATCATGGACCGGCCCATCTCAACATTGTGACAAGCTCTAATTATGCAAATCAAAGATAATATGTCAGTGTAAGGATTTGGGTAATAAGGGAGTGGCAGAAAAACCTCGCAGGCCTGCAATTTTGACTCCATGCCGTCAATGTAAGCCTCACACCGAGCAACCTGTTCTTCCTTCTCACGTTTTTCACCTTCCGTTTGGCCGACCGTTTGTGTGAGGCGGCGGACTTCGTCTTCGAGCGACTGTCGTATTTCCTCCCGAGTGACGTTCTCCGTGGCGAATCTCTTCAGCTCTTCATCAAAACGCCTTCGAGCTGCTTCGGCACTCTTTAACCTCTCAGCTAGAGCATTTTTCTCCTTCATTACTCTCTGAAATTATTATTCACAAGTAACTTTCATAAAATGGTATATAATAGTCGAGTGATGCTTTTAACTTTACGAAAAACTGGCCAGTTATAAAATATCGGACCTTCAATTCATCACGTTTCCGAGATTTCAATTGGGAGAGCTGTGATTCTGCATCATAAAGACGATCTTGAAGAACCTTCTTCTCGCCCAAAAGCTTCGTGACCTCGTCTCTTTCCGAACGGACCCACTCGAGTTGAGTCTCGATTTCCTGTATCTGCTCCATCAGCTCTTTTCTTTCCCGGGCAAACCGGTCTGTTTCGGCCCTCATTTCAGACTGCCATTTCATATTTACATCATCAACAGTCTAAACAATTTCCTCGAAAACAAAACAGTAATTTAAAAAAGTGGGGGAAAAAAAAAACAATTACCTTGAGACGGCTATTACTAGTCTCGGATTCGCTCAGCCTTTGTGATAGGGCGGCTTTTTCTTTGGACATAACAGCTATTTCGGCTGTTCTTTCTTCACGAAGGCGCAGAAGATCATCCTCGCTGGCGCATAGCTGATGCCAGAGAGCAGCTCGGTCGACATTCGCAAGCTCGGCAACCTCACGCATCATGTTGAGAACTGGTCTGACAGTCCCCAAGTCCTCACACATCAAAACTGCCAAAATCTCCACATCTAAATCAAGGTAACGACTGGAATCAGAAGCGGCCATGACACGGTCAATGAGCCTCTTCAGCATCCTTAGTCTTCGAGGCTCGTCAGTGTACTGTTTGAACAATATGGTGTAGAGAATCTTTACGAACCCCTGCACCCGCGAGTCCGTGGAAAGTGCCAATGTCTCGGCAAGACTAAGAAGTGAAGTGAAGTCATCAATTTGTGCACTCACTCGTTCGATTGTTTCGCCTTCAGTAGTGATGTCCGGCTGCTGATAATTCTCAGCAGCATACTGTGTGGTAAAATCGATTCCTCTCGCACGGCGTTTTTCCAGAGCCACACCCACGGCCTGTGGGGCAAAGTCTCCACGGGTTATAGCTTTCTCGAAAACTTGGGCAGCTTCCACGGCAAGAGAAGGTATGGATAAAATCTCGATCAAGACGTAAATATCCGAAAAATGGGACTGGACGGTATCGTCCTCCCCTGGTTGATATCTTAAACCACTTTCACCAAATACAAAAAATCCAGAGTGGGTTGGTGAGATGTTATCTCCATAATCATCGTCATATTCGATATCCTGTAGAATAGATTCAGCTATATCTGCACAGCTGGTTACAGTCCGGCACAGATAATCTAAAACACAAGGAGAGACTTCCGTCCCTAAATTTCTTAGCCTCACCCGTACAGACCTCACCTGCAGCAGGTATGCAGATAGAATTTAATAGCAATGATCAAAGTAGAAAAGCAGAATTTATCATTTGAACTTACTGCTTCAGGAAGATGTTGACAGTGTAGAGCAGCTTTAAATATAAAGTCCACCGTGGCTGCAAGAGGTTCATCATTACAATCAGACAAAAGCTCAAAAGATTGAAAGAGAACATCTCCCCATACTTCAGTGCTACACTCCAACTGACTTAGTGCCCCAAAAACCTGCCAAATAAAGGTTTGTAACAGATGAGCTATACACGGAGAAAAACTCAATACCTTGACATCCAATCAAAGAGAGCAGCACATTATCATTACCGGCAGGCGCAAGGCAGGCTCTGCATCTGGCTTCTGGAGCCGATCCATAAGTGCACGAGCAGCAAGCGAATGTTCTGAATGCTCGACTAGCTTTGGAACTAATGCGACTAGGTCTGATTGTAGATGCTTCGGAGCCTTATCCAATACGAGCGCAATCTTCTGAGCAGACTGTGGCCGCCTTCTTGGTTCGGGGCAACCTTGCGGGACAGCACCATCAAGAGCTCTCAAGGAGTTCACAATCAACCCAAGAAGCTCCTCCGACTGCTCTGGCCACTTGGTCTAAACAAAAAATTATCAAAATCAATACATAGAATAAGCGAGCCGGATGTTTAATACCTCAGAAAATAAGGCAACCCATACCTTAGACCGAAGAGAGGGGTTTTCGGATGAACCAGCAGCAGATGTCTCTTGGGGAAAAGTAGGCTGACTTGGAACAGTTTTTACATGCATGGTAGCTCCATTTGCATCGGAGCTTTGTACGGCTGAAGTACACACACTATTACTCGCACCAAGGTCAAATCTCTCCCCCGCAGAGAGGTGTGAGGGTTCAGTTCCTCCGCTCTCTCCATCAGATTCCAGCGGACTAATAGCTCCACTGCCTTCTGGGGAAGGTTTGGAACCATCATTCGAGCCCCCTTCTGAGGGTTGGCAACACTCGACCATTATATCTAGAAGCAAATCAATGATTGCTTGTTGCAAAACTTTGACCCCCATTAACAAATTCATCAAGCTAGGTGAAGACTCGTCATTTTTGTTAGTTTTCGTACCATCACTACTGCCAGATAATTTTGTCGGGAGCAGCAAACGCTTCACTTTAGCTGGGTCATCGAGATAAACGCGGAGACCGGTTAGGAAACCAGCTATAGCACCGGCATCCATGAGGAGTTTCTCTCGAAGAGTAACATGAGGTTGAGAAGAACTGTCTCCGTAAGTTAGGTGAAACCCAGCCCTGGACAGGAGATTTCTGAAGATGTCTTCTTCATCTCCACTCAGACCATCACTATCATCAGAATCAATAAGTTCATCGGGGTCGGTTGACAGAGCATCTTGATCATCTTCAGAAGCCAAAACCTAAGAAGCAATCAACAAAGTCAACACAGGGGAATGATGAGAGTACAAATTGGTAATAGCATGGTTAGTCACAAGATAACTATGACAAACCAGCTCAAAGTCAAAGCGATTCTCTTCAAGCCTTCACATCAAAAATCAGAGTTTTATGAGAGCAAAATCCGAAATAAAATCTAGTTTTTGTGTTTATGACTCTTAAAAGATGGC